CCTAAACCCTCAACCCTAAACCCTCAACCCTAACCCCTAATCCCTAAACCCTAAACCCTCAACCCTAACCCCTAATCCCTAAACCCTAAACCCTCAACCCTAAACCCTAAACCCTCAACCCTAAACCCTCAACCCTAACCCCTAATCCCTAAACCCTAAACCCTCAACCCTAAACCCTAAGCCCTAAACCCTAAACCCTCAACCCTAAATCCTAAACCCTAAACTTCCTAAACAGGCCGGCGGCTGTTCGAGAGAGGCATCCTTTGCCTTGCTCTCTCCGGTGATTTGCTCCTTCGGATTGGGAGTTTCAGGGCTTCAGGACTTCGCAAAGACTTACCTTCATAATGGTATATACCTAAGGGTCCTTATTAAGGGTCCCTCCTTTTACCCTTCGATACTAAGGAAACCACATTACCTGGACCCCCAACGTGTGTAGAATAATGGCCTGTTATAGGTATTGAGCCATTAGTTTACCTACTTTGGCGGGTTTAGGTACGGATTGGGGGTTGAGGGTTCAGGACTTTATACATGGCTGGTTGTCAAAATTATGGTCCCTTTTTTGGCTACCCTTATTAGGTGACGTATTATAATAAGGACCCAAAAAGGGACCCTAGTTTTGACAACCACCCAAATTGAGGATTTTGGGACAGGCTTTGGCGATGTTGATCTTGAGGTTCATCGGGGACTACAAGACCTAGGGTGTCTAGGAGTCTTGCTGTGTCTTCTCAGAAATCCTTCGTTGCTGTATGGAATATGTTTCGAATTTCTGACCTCAGGATAAAACCCTATCTAAAAATACAAAAGTACCTGATTAAGAGCAAAACCCTAAACCTGACCGTAAACCCCATGAAATAGGTTCCTTATATAAATCCTGAACCCTCCACCCAAAACCCTGTTAAACAGGCCCTAAACCCTAAACCTTGAACCCGACTATCAGTCTTACCTTTGGTTAGTAGGGAATGGAAGAATGGTAGTAATAGTAGTTGTAATTGTACCCCATTCCTCCATTCCCTACTAACCAAAGGTAAGCAGTCCCAGTCACCGGCGCCGGGCGAATTTTGAAAAGTATGGAGGTGATCGAGGCTTGAGGATTCAGATTCGAGGTTCCTGAGCAGCTCCTTTAGGGTTTAGGGCTTAGAGTTTAAGGGTTTAGGGTTTAGGGACTTAGGGTTTAGAGGGCTTTCTAGTCAAGGCACCCTTTTTCCTACGATTCAGTGGCATAAGGGGGCCCTAAAACGAAAAGGGAAAAAGGGTACTACTCAGGAACCTAGGATCCAACTCAAGGACTAGGACAGGAAAGCCTCGAAGGTGTTTAGCCTTCGGGTTCACGATTTCACAGCTTGCAGAGCTCAGGGTTCAGGGGTTTAGGGGTTCAGGGGTTCAGGGTTTTCAGGGTTGAGGGTTTAAGGGTTTAGGGTTTAGGGGTTTAGGGTCTTCAACAATCTAGACTTTTCTTTGGAATCTCATTTTCAGGGGATCAGGATTCGTGGGTGTATTAGTGGTAGAAGTAGTCGTCGTCGTCTTCGGTGCAGTCGTAGTGGTCGTGGCAGTGGTACTAGTACGGGCACTGGTGCAGTCTGGAACTGTCTAGAGCAAGTAGCAGTCCCAGTACTATAAGCTAGTAGCAGTCGGCAAGCAGGCAGTAGGATTGCACTAGAAGCAGCAGAAACCTGAAATCGCTTCAAAACCGAAAGCCACACCTTTGCACGGCTACATTCTCTTAGACCTTAAACCCCAAACCTGCACCACGTAGGCCTACACCATATGTATAGGTAAGCCCCCGAAACGCAATCCTAGAGCCCTACACCCTCGCAGTCCTTGCTACAAAACTGTTTCTAATTTCAAGTAACCCATCAAAACCCTTAAAAAAACCTTAAGGACCCCTACAAGACATTACACAACACCTTACACGACCCCCAAGGGTCCAAGTACCCAATAATCATGTACTCTCCCAAATAATAACCTACATAACTACTACCCGAAACCTAAGTACCCAATTACTGTGTCCTGACCCTTAGGGAACTCTACATCAAACCGCTCCAGCTGCTCTTCGGCTCTCTTCCGCTCGGCAGCAAGCTGCGCTTCGCTTGCTTCCGCCTTGAGTGAGCTCCCGAAGTTGCGGCCGAAGGTACAGGAGGGGGCCTAGGGGCTGGGGCTTACTTGGAGGTTCATGGGCAGCTATAAGTATTGGGGTAACTATACTTATAACTTAGAACCCATATTCGGGTACTTTTATCCCTACTTATAACTACCCCTGAACCTCCAAGTAGGGTTTAGGGTTTAGGGTTTACCGTTTAAGGGTTTAGGGGCTCAGAAAAAGGCATCTAAGCATGAACTGCTCCCCTAAGGCTCCATGTACCTATATAGTATATACTTATGCCTTAAAGAGCCTATAATGGTACCCTTTAAGGCCTAAGTATCTACTATAAAGGTACAGGGAGCCTTTGAGCTCAAGCCCACCGACCTCCAGGGAGCGCTCCCTTCAAAAGCTTATGTCTCCCACACGAGGCGTTCAGTTTCTCCGATCAGATCTTGGGCTTCGACGTTTCAAGATGTAGCTTTTTCCTCCCTGAGCCCTGAAACCCCGAAACCCGAAACCCTGGCCCTAGTATAGTTTTAGGATTAATTGAAAGGGATTGCTTACAAAGGATTTAGATTGCAAGCCTCGTGCATCCTAAACCCAATCATCTTAGGCTGTCGGCAGAAATACATTGTGGGAAATACTATAAGGAGAATAAGGAGCCCCACAATACTAATTGTCGGTCGAGATTCAAGCACTTATATAAGAGTTTGCATGTGCAGAATGAGCGGCTATCTCGCGCGGATGCACAACTCTGACAGCATTGGCCGCAAAGTGAAGTCTAAGTGCTCATGGTCTGTCGGGGTGCAGGTAGGTGATGCCCCATATGATACAGCGGTCTTGTCCTAGCCGCGTTCTCGACAAGATCGCCCTGCGGAGAAGCACAGAGGGCCTGCCTCGCTGGGTGGCAGAGAGAACTCTTCAAAACCCGCATGAAATTCTCAAGCCGCGCTGTAAAGCCTGGGAAACAGTTATAACGGAACCGTTGATGAAGGGACAGCGAAGCTTCTGGTTGCTGCGACTCACCGCCCCATCATAAGGCAGGAAAAGATACCCGGGAGCTTCCCGAAACAGAGGACCGTAGTATAGTACTCAAACAAGTATGATCCTTACAGGTAAACACCGAAGTCATAACAAAAACGGAGGGCGAGCATTCCCGCAACTAACCGCGCGTTACGACTCATTTTCGGAAGTCGTAGCAGAATCGCTTTCCACCATGTAACCGCGGGATCTTTGAGCAGTCTGCAAAGTCGCTTCCGCATGTTCAGATCTGATAAGAAGTCATAACATTTGCTGTTTCCCCCAAGTAACCGCGCGTGACACACAACATGCTTTGCACACACCGTGTCTGAATCTTTCTACCGAACAGTATTATAAGGACCCCCAAATGAGGGTATCCCCTAATTTTCGGAAACTCCCAAACCCTAAACCCTTTATGGAACCCTTATATATCCCTTTAAGGAACCCTTACAGGAAAAATCACCCTTCGGGAGCAAAAAGCTCCAAAACCCGAACCCAACACTGTAAACCCGAAACCCACGTCGGCCATCTAGGGGTCTGTCGGCATTCCGACGGTTTAGGGTTTAGAGGGTCGGAGTACTAGTCCGTGAACCTAGAGTGGCTCGTATATAAGTGCTTTGGAGCCAAAGTATATACCAATTGGGTACATGGACACTTAGAAAACAATCAGAGTTTCTCTGGAGTCCCAAGATATTTATGCTATAGTGAACCCAAGAAAGTTGGAAACCGGATTAAGGACAAATAGTGCTGGCATTCCCTATGCGGTACTCTTAAGGATTGAGGCTATTGGGTTTCCAACTTTTGGGCTTTTACCATCAAGGAACCTTTATAGATCCCTAAAAGGGACCCTGAAAAGGAACCCTAAATCATGATGTCTTACATTAAATTGCTTTGGAGTCTGAAGAGACTTCTTTTCGGAAACTCTAAACCCTTATAGAGCGCTTTAAAAGAACCCTTATAGTAACCCTTCAATAACCTTTAAGGTACCCTTAATTCTCGGAAACTCCCATGTTACAATGTTGGGCCTTGGACTGGGCATCCGCCTTCTCGGCCTCAGCCATCTCCTGAAGCCTTGCTTGGTGGATCATGGGACTTAGTTCAGGGTTCCTTTTAATACCTAATAAGGGTACTATAGGGTTCTATAATAGGGTTCCTTAAAGGGATCTATAGGGGTTCTATAATAATGGGGATCATGGGACTTAGTACGTATGGTTATAAGTACCTAGTTGGGGTTATAAGGAGTTATAAGTATAGCTACCCTAATAATAACCGTAATTACTAAGTCCCATGACTTTTGCAGCACACACACCGATCAAGCAGGTTTTTGGATTCTTTAAGGGGTCCTTTCAGGGATCTATAAGGGTTTGAGGTTTCGGGTTTTGGGCGGGGTTTTGGGATTCAGGGTTTAGAGTATTGGAGTTTCGAGTTCAGGGTTTTGGATCCGGGTTAAGTGCTTGAACTATGACTGGAAACCCGAGGATGCTCCCCTCCTACCTTCTCGTTTGGGCTTCAGGGCTTAGGGTTTAGGGTCGAATATGGGTAAGTGGAGCATCACGGAAGTTCCGATAGAGAAGCATGGGGCGTTGAGGACACGGAGCAGTCATGTGAGGACCTTAACACATAGAGGAGCCCTAAGGGATGCTATTGGGGTTTAGGGTTTAGGGCTTCTGAAGTAGTAGGAAAAGCTGAGCCCTTCTCTGGTGCCTCCTCAAGGTGGTCCAATGCAAGATCCAATAGAACCCTTAAAAAAACGCCAAGGGAACCACCAACGTAACCCTAAACTTTGAAACCACAAACGAACTCTCAGGTGCACCAAGTGACTGCTGCAAGGCTGCGTCCTTCTCTCGGCCCTGTTTGGCAAGCTCGTCCTGCGCGGCTATGCGGTCTCATAGGGTTCATTGGAGAGTTTCTTCTTCGAGTTCCTCCACGAAAGAATACAGGGGTACGACTACCATCAGGACAGCTGTAAGTTTAGGGTCAAGGGCTTGCGGGGCTTACTGCACAAAGCTGCCGCTGTGGCCTCGCAATGTGTATTACTTGCTCCCATGAATTAACCCTACACCCCTAAACCCTAAACCCAAGCCTCGACCCCTAAATCCCCAAACCCTAAACTCCAAACCCTAAATCTCTGAACCCTAAACCCCCAACCCCACAAACCCTCAGACACCTACACCCCTAAACCCTAAACCCAGTTTGGTCTCCAGGGGCACGATCCTAGAGTTCAGAGGGCGGTGCGCAGGTCTCCTCCTAAGCATGTAATTCTACACCTCAAAATTATTTAAAAGCCCCCAACTTCAAATCCTTAACCCAGAAACTCAAATTGATGATCCTCCTTAAGCGTTGCAGTCTTTAGGGGCTAAGTTAGGGTCGGGTTTTGGTTTGGGCTCTATAGGGCTAACTAGGCCCTAGGCTCCGTAGTATTACTGCTGATGGACAAAATCCTGCATGACCCTAAGGACTCTAAACTATGGGAACTATGGTATATTCCTTATAATGGGTAATGCAGGATTTTGTCCATCAACAGTATTACAGGCGTCCTTATCATTTGCACATGACAACTAGCGAATCTTCACTATTATATGGGTGGTTCTCAAAATTATGGTCCCTTTTTGGGTCCTCACTACAGTACGGCACCCAATATTTAGGGTACCCAAACAGGGACCATCATTTTGACAACCGCCCATATAAAACTATATGGGGCTTACGGTTTCGGGTTTTGCGGCTGAAGGCTTTTGGCAACCACCGGGTTCCAGCTGCTCTTCGACGCGCGCCAGCTCTTTGCGGAGGTCATCTTCGCTGGCATCCGCCTCATCAGAAGTAGGGTTTGCATTTAAGGGTTAAGACGGTTCGGGTCCGGGTATAGGGTTTAGGATGGCTTCGGGGTTTTGGGCTCAACGGCAGCATGTGATTTTGGGTTGAGGGCTCCATGTTACTTAAGGATCATGGGACGTTGTAACAAGGGTTACAATAGAGTAAGTATACGTATAACTACTTGCAACCCCAATTAAGGTACTTATAGCCATGTTGAATCACTGGATCGCGTGATCCTCCAAGTAAACCCCAAACCCTAATAGTAGCCCTATAGATCCCTTCAAGGGACCCCCAAGCCTTACTAAGTCCCATGTTCCATCATGCTTGGGTCTTCGGGTCTATTACCCAAAGGGTCCATGTACTCATATAGTATATACATTGGCCTTAAAGTCCTCCCTATATAGGTACATTGGGCCCAAAGTATATGCTATATGGGTACATGGACCCTTAGGGTTAGGCTTGGGGATGTCGGGTCGAAGGATTACTTGTTCCCAGCATCAGTGGCTAAGAGCTCCGTTTGCGTCTTCATATTCCAATATACGGAATTATAGCACTGGATTGCAGCCATCTTGCTCCAACCACACCATGCAAACTTGCAACATGCATCCACAAAACCCTACACCTACCACGGAAGCCCACGTAAAAAGACTCGGGTGTTGGGTGAGCTGTATACTTTCTGCTTGTGTTGCAAAAGCCCTGAGCAATAGCACTGTGACTCAATCGGCCGCCACATTAAGATGCTACGAAATTGAATCCGAATTCTTCCAATTCAAACCCTCGGTAAACGCGTCAAATCCAAACTTTGGCCCCAGTTCTCCAAACTTAAGGCAAACAAAAACAAAATCTAGACCTAAACCCACAATCCCAAAGACTCAAGCCAGCGAAAAGTCCTTTCGATCCGAACTTCTCTATACCCTGAGCTCTACCACCGGCCTGGGATCGCGCTCGCTCCTTTTGCAACTCCAAGGCCTCTTGCAACCTGCTAGGCAAGTGTGATTACACTTTATGGGAATCTGCATGTTGAACTAGAGCTTTCCGACCTGCTTGTATGTTCCACGACTTGGGGCGGTCTCCAACCGGACAAGGGTTAGGGGCCCCCCAACCCTTCACGATTTGAGGCAGGGACCAAATGGGAGTTTCCGAAAATAGGGGACCCTAATATAGTACCTTAAATAGTAGGATCCTTATTATAAGGACCCCCAAATCAGGTACCCCTAAATTTCGGAAACTCCCAAATGGACAAGCGTTGGGGCCCCCCGGAGGCTTGGGGCCCCAACCCTTCACGATTTGAGGCTCCAACTCGGCCCATCGGCCCTTGAGCCTTGAACCCTGCCTTCACATGAGGGGTGTCGAAGTGGATCAGGAGACGCTCCACAAATCGAAATATCAATCCTTCGGCCCAGAACGCACCCTGAGGGAAACCTAAACTGTTGCTTGGACACGGTTTGGGGCACCCCAATCCGTCACGACTTCAACCGACTCCAAGGAACTTCTACCTATAGTCTGCTTTGTAGTTCCTTTTTTTGGTTAACCAGTTTTATGGCAAGGATCCTATAATAGAGATTCTGGTTAACCCAAAAAAAGGAACTACAATGGAGCCTATAGGCAATGTGCTACTTGACACATCCATATCTGCGACATCCACTTTGTTTGCTGGTGCTGGCTTAGTTTTGGCTGGCTCGGTTTTGGCTCGCTGTGAGTAGTGTTTGGGTCTGCAAACTACTTCTGTGTTCACTTACCTATGTCTATGCCCTAAACCCTATAAATCCTATAGATCCCGTATCCTAAACCCTTGGTCGTCCAGGTGGCTCTTGGATGGTGGCATCCTTCTCGCGGCTGTCGCTTGAGAGCTTCTGCAGGGAGACGTCCTTCTCTTGGGCCGCATCCGCAAGCCTGCAGAATTAATTAGGGTTTAGGGTTTAAGGTTTAGAGTTTGGGGCCTTACATAGTAGTTAGACTAGGGTTTTGCGCCCGTTATACTGAGCTAATGTAGAAGCCGTAGTAGTTAGAACAGGGTTTTGGCCCCATTATAATATTTACAATAAGGAACCCACAAAATAGTATAGGCAATTATTCATTCCCCTCGATTAATAAATTAGCAAGAGAGAGCAACCGTACCCCTTTCTAGCCCTCATGATACCACAGTAACATGCCCCGAAATTCGACTCTACTCGACACGTGAAGGGCCCGTTTTTTTGAAGGATATACGACCCAAGCCGTATCCTCAGGCGTCAGAAGTCTGGACACGTCACTGAATGACAGCTCAGGCTTATGGTTTAGGGTGTAGGGTTCACGGCTGATAGTTTAATGTTCAATCTCAGGGTTTAGGGATGTTAGTTCAGGTTTCGGCTTTACGGGTTGGTTTCAGGCGAGAAAGCTTAGTGTTGAGATTTTCCGGTTGAGGGATTTTAGGGCTCAGGTTTAAGGACAAGGGTTCGAACCTGATACTTTAGGATTCAGGGTTGGGTTGATAGCTTCGGGTTCGGGCTCAGGGTTTAGGGATGATTATTAGCTTAAGATCCTAAGATTCAGGTTTAGGGTTTAGGGCTCAGTGATTGTCGCTTGAGGCCTTAAGCTAAAAAAGGCCCTGCCGGGTGGTGGGGTTGAAGGGTTCGGGAACATTCGGACTGCCAGAGTGTAGATGCAAAGCTGAAGCCCTGCCACCCTATCTAAAACACTTGTAAACCCTAACCCCTAAACCCTCTACTCTAACCCCTGAACCCGATACTCTAACCCCTAAATCCTGAAACCCCAACCCTGTACCTTGACCATCCTCAACCCCTGAATCCTAAAACCTAATCCCTAGACCCTAACGCCCAATGCCTAAAACCAAACCCCACCCCCAAGATTTGAAACTCCTGTACTACGCCACTGGGATCGGAGTGGCCCTAGACAGAAAAATCCTTCTATATAGTGTTCGGATAATCCCTAAACCTCAAACCCCTGAACCTCGAAACACTTAGCAGTCCTAAAAGCCCTAAACCCCCAAACCCCAAAGCCCTTATAAGTCCCATAAACCCCAAGCTCCGAAACTCCCAAGCGCGTCCGCCCAAACCCCAATAAATCGAACCCTGCCAAGCGGCTTCTGGATTGTCTGGTCCTTCTCCCGGCTCTCCTGCGGGTGTTTAGGGTTTAGGTAATTTGTTTTGAGCGCCTCTTTTCCAATCCGCAAGAACGTGTAGGTTTAAGGTGTAGTTTGAGGTTTTGGGTTTAGGGTTCTGGTCCTTTACCCGGCTCTCCTCCGACAGCTTCAGCAGAGAGGCCTCCTTCTCCCGCGCTGCTTCTGCAAGCTGCAAGGCAGCAGCCTTTTCCTGCTGTGAGTCTCAGGGGCTTTCTTATGGCCCTAAACTCTAGACCTCCTGTCGCCTAAACCCTAAACCCCTAAATCCTAAACCCTGAACCCCTGAAACCTAAACCCCTAAAATCCCAAACTCTCACAGCCAGCACCTGCTCCAGCTGTGCTCGAAGGGACGATGCATCCGAAGAAGCAGCTTCCTTCGCCAGCCTGGATCAGGGCTTGTGGGTTTAGGGTTTAGGGCTTAATGGATGACGGATTCGGGTTCTGGTTTTGGGGTGTCCTTCGTCATTGGGATCCCTTGGGTGCTGTCTCCTCCCTGGGTCGAAGGGTTGAGGCTTTAGGGAGCTTTTGCGCTTTCCGGTTGAAGCTTTTGGGAAGAGGGCGGGGTCGTATACTGGTCTGGAAGCTTGGGGGCCCAAGGGATTTTGTGGCTTATCCAGGTCTTCTTCTGTTGGGCGTAGTCATGTTGAAGTTAACATCATGCCTATAGTCTCCATTGTAGTTCCGGTTTTTTGTTAACCAGTTTTATGGATAGGATCCTATAACAGAGATTTTGTTTAACCAAAAAAAGGAACTACAATGGATACTATAGGTGGGTACCATGTTTGAGGGCCATTGGGCCCCGACACGTCTGAAGCAAGCAGCCTGGATCGGAATGATGCCAGCGCCCACTGTTCATGAACCCCTAAGGCTCTTCGGGCCCAAAGCCTTAATATATGAGTCCCTAAAGCCGAAATGAACACCTCGAATGTTGCAGCCACGCCACTGCAAATCCTGTAGCTGGGCTCGCAGCTCTGCCAGCTCGGCGGACGATGCCTGCAAAGCTTCCAATATTTCGGATTCGACTAGGCTGCCCTTTGGGCTCGCCTGTGACCCTCAAGTTTCAAAGCAACAGCCATGAGCCGTGAACACCAATGACTTTTCGCATCTCCGCACCGCAAGACGTCCTGTGACCCAAGAAACTAATAATAAAGGAACCTGATTAAGAAACCCTGGGCCTACAACCCCAAAATAGCAGGATTCATATAAGCAGCCCTAATAAAGGCCCAGGGTTTCTTTATCAGGTTCCTACATTACAGCAGCCCTAATGAACGGAATAAGGCTTTGGAGCTTACTATCGTGTAAGTACACAGGGACTTCTAGGGCGCGGTTAAGAATTTTGGCCGAGGACCACGAAACCGCAAAACCCAAAAACGCTAAACTTTAGGGTTTAGGGTTTTTTAGGGTTTAGGGTTTGAAGTCTAGGGGTTTAGGGTTTCGTATAGGATTAAGGGTTAAGGATTTAGGGTTTCGGCCTGCCCACCCCTAAGGGTCCATGTACCCATTTTTCTATACTTTGGCCCCGCATTCTGGCACATGGACTTTTAGGGGAAACACTGCTTCCGATAAACCCCTAAACCCTGCCTGAACCCCGCATAACCTACCCTTTTACGGACTTAAATAACGAAATCGTATGGTAAACCCCTAGAGCTCCCCAAACTTCCTATACCCTTAACCCCACCTGGGCTGCGGCAAAATCCATCGGGGTCGGCTCGGCCGGAGGCGGCTCGGTAGGCGTCGGCTCGGGTGCTGCCGTCCTGTAGGGTATTTTGGGAGTTTCGGAAAATAAGTGGCACCTTACTTTGGGCTCCTTCTCATAGGGATCCTACTATTTAAAGTACTTTATTATTACCGTCCCCTATTTTCGGAAACCGCCTTATAGGGCTCCTGCTAGAAGGGCTTTGTAAAGGCTCCTTTAAGCTTTAGGGTCCGTTTCAGGAAACCCCATCGACGACTATGCCACAAACGAGGCTGCAAAAGTGGCTCTACATGACAACAAGGACTAAACCAAAGGTCTCAATGATCATGTGCTCTGAGAAAGCAGCATGTACCGAAAAAATGCCTCTGAATCTCTGAACTCAAGGTACTCATTCTCTTCTTGGCGCAACTTCCACCACCCAATCTGCCAAGGCATGCTTTGGGGGGAATATTTAGTTTACAGCATTGGTTGAAGAAAATATTCGTGGCGCGAACAAAACATACCAGGCCTCAGTGTCCCAATCCCAGAACCCTGAGCTGGGCGGGGTGAAGCTCTTTATCGGATTGCCATTCTGGCTGTGTCGCCCTTGGCACCACAAGCAGAGCTGCTTTAGTGTAAAAGGCTTCGGCAGCGGCAAAGCCGCTGTCACGGACACGTCCATCGCGTACCTGAGCTTCCAAGTGGTCTGTGCTTTCGGACACAGTAGTAGCATGGCCGCACCATTCAAGAACAGCTTTGCATCAGTCATGTGCACTGACCCAGATGACATGCAAAAGAGCTGCAAGAGAAGCAGCTTCTTGTCGCCTGATGTGATTCGGCCAAGATGGCCAAGGGAGCTTTCGTCCATCATGGAAGCCAACAGGCTTGTAACCTCAATTTCGGGAAACTCCCAACTTGAGTTGAAGCTCCCACAGCAACCCCGACAGAAACGCTGCGGATGCCATGTCTGGGCGTGTCCGCAATTCAAGGGACCTCAGCTTTCCCAAAGGCTCCATGTACCCATATAGTAGGTACTTAGCCCTTAAAGGGGCCCCTATATAGGTACTTTAAGGCCTAAGTATCTACTATATGGGCACATGGAGCCTTAGGGTTTTTTACACCAAGCATCAGGAGACCCTTGGTTCTAAAACCCCATGCTAGCTGCACCAATCCTGAAACCCCCCACATCCCTTGTCCTAAACCTCACCATAACCTATAGTCTCCATTGCAGTTCCTTTTTTTGGTTAACCAAAATCTCTATCATAGGATCCTAACCATAAAACTGGTTAACCAAAAAAAGGAACTACAATGGAGACTATAGGAAGGGTCCAATGGACCTACATAGTACAATGTAGGGTTTCTGTACTAGGAATTAGTCTTATGATTCATTCCCCCTTAACGGTACCTAGGACCCTGTGGGTCATAAAAACCCTACAGTGAACTCTCATGAAACCTTCATGAAAGCAGCAGGCAACCAGAGACACCGTACTACATAGTACCCCTAGCCCTAGCGTATAGCCCGAATACCCTCGAAAAGAACCCTTAAAGCAACCCTAAGGCCTTTAAATAAAGGAACCCCGCACAGCAAACCTCATCTGTACATAAACACACCAAAACCCGAAGCCCCAAACCCAACAGCCCTGATCTGTAACCTCGTGGCCCCCACCTTGAAACTACCAGAACCTACTTTCTATAGTATTACAAGCCCGAAGTACAAAAGAACGCGTAGGGACCCTCCCAAAAGAAAGTGGGAGTTTGGTGGTTCCAGGTATATAAATAAATATATATATATATATATATATATATATATATACAATATATACATATATACACCCTAAACGCTAAACCCCGAACAACCAAAAGCTTCAGTTCAAGGTCCACCCTAAAACACAAACCCCGAAAATACGTAGGTCTTGGTAGTTCAAGGTACCACAGGGGCCTCAAGAATTACCGATACTTTTTTGGGGGTTCCTTCTTGTAATTGTAGTATACTGGGCTCCCAAACCCTACTCTAATTATTAAGGCACCTACATTGTCCTAAAGGTCCCGTCCTCCCAAAACCCTAAACCCTAAACCCAAATCAAATCCTAAACCCAAATCCTAAACGCTAAACCCCAAACCCTAAAACCCAAACCCATAAAGGTCCGGTCCTGAGCCAATCTTTCACCACCAGACGTGCCACCGTCGCGGCCTCTGTGCGGATGGCCATGGGATCCTCGCTCGGTTCTCGTACTTGAAGGAACTGAGCACCCAAGGGGTCCTATGCACTGTTATGGGGAATACTGCCCTAAAACTTAATAGGAATTCTTAATATGGAAACCCTATTCTACTTTATCTGTACATAGGACACTTTGGGGCAGGGTTTAGGGTTTAGGCAAGGAATCAAAGGGCTCTTTTATTATGAGAAACCTAGGACTACAGAAAGGGAAGAAGGGTACTACTGGGCATCCTAGAAAAAGAACTAAGCAGGGTTTCAGGGTTTGGGGTTTCAGGGTTTGGGGTTTTGGGGTATGGGTTTTAGGGTTATACGTTTGGAGGACTTAAAGGATCATAGGACGTAGTAACTTACGTTATTATTGGGGTAGCTAAACATATGAATACCTAAAGCTTCAATTAAGGTACTTATAACCCTAACCCCTAAACCCTACACCCAAAACCCTAAGTCCCATGAGCCGCCAAGGAGGAGTTCGAACTTCGCTTGGCTTTAGAAGGCATTTCGTGGGCTTAGTTGCTGAGTTCATAAGCCACCCAAAGTGTGCACTTTCAGTTTTATAGTGGGAAATATTATCCCTGAAAGTGTGAAGTTTATCCACTCAGCTACTAAGTGGGTCTTTGGAGGGAGCGACAGGATCTGGTGTTTTCCAGGATTTGGTGGCGCCTTACAGGGTTCTGTGAAGGGATCTGTCTTGAGTGCTTTCTGAAAGTTCTACGGGGGTTTCAGGGTTGAGGGGTTCGGTGAGGGCTTTTGGGTACTGACACGGGTGGGGGGAGTATTGAGAGTTTAGGCGTGCAGAGTCTTACCCTAAGGCTCAAGATAGCCCAAAAGCCTTATATAGCATGGTCTTCGGGCCCAAATGCCTTAAAATATGAGTCCTTAGAGCCTGAACCCTCAACCCTAAACTCTAAACCCTAAAACCCGTAAACCCTAAACCTTAAGGGTTAGGGTATTGGAATCTTGGGTAGCTCCTTGAAGTTTCGAGGTCTCGGGGCCTCGACCCTAAAGCGTAAATGGCAGACCTCGTAAGGTACTAAGACCTAAACCTCACGCCCTAAATCCTAAAAATTCCAGAACCCTAAACCCTAAACCCTAAATCCTAAACGTTCTAAAACCCTAAATCCTAAAATTGCGAACCCTAGAGCCAAACCCTCAGGCCCTGAACCCTAGACTCCGAAGCCCTCAGCCGCAAAACCCAAAAACCATGCAGACGTAAACTCAACACACATCGTCTGGACTTTGAAGCGACCTTGGGGAAGAAAATATACACTTCAACTTCATAAGGGTGCCCTTGGGGAACAGTTACAAAAGAGGCATAAGAGTAACTAGAGGTTCATAACCTGGCCTTTCTCAAGGTACCATATATCTACGGCTAGGATCAGTTATCTACGAAAGTGGGTACCCTAAAAATGGAGTGGTGTGTGACCCTACTTGGAAGGTCGGGTACTGAGTAAGTAGGTAAGAAGTAGACTTATCAGTACACGAAAAAGCGATCCTCATTGGGGTAAAGATACTTACGACTCTAAACAATAACTACCTACTACAGTTGATGATATAAATCCTGCATTACCTAAAGGACCCTAGACTACGGGATTCATGGTATATTCCTTATTATGGGTAATGCAGGATTTTTATCATCAACGGTAAGTCTCCAGACCCTCCAAGCATAGGGATGCTACTCCAGAGCTGAGTTCTTGGAATATATAAACCCTAAACCCTACATAAACCCTAAACCCGATGTACGTCCTAAACCCTTAACCCTAAACCCTATATAAACCCTAAACCCTAAGCCCGATATAAGCCCCAAACCCTACCTAAACCCTAAACCCCCCGATATAAGCCCTAAACCCTAAACCCTATATAAACCCTAAACGCTAAACCCAGCCTAAATCCTAAACCCTACCTAAACCCTAAACCCTATATAAACCTTAAACCCTACCTAAACCCTAAACCCTATACAAACCCTGAATCCTACCTAAACCCTAAACCCTAGTATCAGAGTATGCCCAAGTCTCAGGAGGAGGTGGGAGCGCTTTCAAGGCTGCCTTGTCCGGGCATTTGGGGTCCGCTCAGGGTTTAATGTAGGAACCTGATTAAGAAAGCCCCTGGGCCTATAACCGCCAAAAAAATAGGATTCATATAAAGAACACGAACAAAGCCCCAAGGTTTCTTAATTAGGTTCCTACGTTAGGATGGTTTAGGATGGTTTAGGGTTTAGGGATTTAATTGGTTTAGGGCTTTCAGGTTTAAGTGTAGGGTTTTCGGGTCTAGGGCCCATGCAGCGTGTTTAAGCTGCGTAGGCTCATAACCACCGAGACTTGAGAGTGTCGGCTTCGGCTGTTTCTGGTGCTCTACGCCGGGACAGGATCTAGACCTAAGAGTAACCTAGGAACAAAAAGGGTGCCCTTAAGGGTCACCTTTTTGGTTTAAAGGGTTTATAAGGGAACATGCACCCTTTAAAAGGAAGGGCCTACTCTACCTGAGGCCCAAAAGACCTACCTTTTTAAGGAACTATATCTATCTATATATATATATATATATATATATATATAGGAACCGTGCCAAGGAACCCTCAAAGGGTAGTTTTTTCGGCATAGGCAGGTCCTACGGTTGATGATACAAGCCCTGCATTACCCAAAATATGGAATATACCATAATTCCCATAGTTTAGGGTCCTTAAGGTAATGTCGGATTTATATCATCAACCTAAACCCTAAACCCTAAAACCCTATACATCCCTTAAAGGTACCCCTTATAGATCCCTTTAAAGGAAGCCTAGGGATTTATATCATCCACCGTAGGAGTTGTCGGCTCTTGGGCGACGGAAAGCGGGGCGAGGCTTGGGGCTGGGGGACTTAGTAAGTAAGGTTTAGGCTTCCTTTTAATAAGGGTACTATAGGGATCTATAATGGGGTTCCTTAAAGGGATCTATATGGGTTCCATAATGAGGGTCATCAGACGTAGTAAGTATGGGCATAAGTACCTTAATTGGGGTTATAAGGACTTATTAGTATAGTTACCCCGAGACTAACCTTAGTTACTAAGTCCCATGATCCTTTAAGTCTGTGCGAGTTTGGGATTCGGTTAGACACGTGCTTGACAGAGATTTAAGGTTTAGGGATTAGGGTTTAGGATTGAGGCTGTAGGATTAACAAAAATTTAAAGGTGTTTTTTTGAGCCCCTTTTTCACCCAGCAATCCAGATTTAAAGGTTTAGGGTTTAGGGTTGATTTACACAAATTCTTCTGTTCATGTGTGGGTGTCCGTAGGGTTTAATGCCTCGCGGGCAAACGGGATTGAATAGCCGGCGCTAGGCGGGTGGGGTCACGCGCCTCCTTCTCTGAAGCCAGCGCTGACTGCAGCCTTAGCAGCTTCTGCTGGCTCTGGGTGCGGGCATTAAACGCTCCGTATGAGAGGTTGCACCTCGAGGCAATTGCACGTATGTTGTGCCACTATAGCTTTCAGACGAGCGATGCAATATTAGGTTGCCGGGATATATCGGCCCTGTAGCAGCATGCAAGTAGGGTATTCTGCCCGCGAGCTCGAAAACCCTCCAAAGCCTCCAAGCCCTAAGCCAGTATCCCCGAAACCTACACTCCCAAAGGCTCCATGTACTTTTAAAGTAGATACAAAAGCCTTACAGGGTCGCTACATTGGTACAAGAAGGCCGAAGTACATACTTTCGGCTACATGGAGCCGTAGGGACTAGGCTGTTCAGCAATCCGAAGGACTACGTAAGGTACATGCTTGCTGGGCAAATTCGACTCTAACCGGGACCCAGAAACCAAAAAAGTCAACAAGTATACCGACTAAACCCTAAACCCTGAACCCTGAACCCTTATGTTCGGAAGTGACGCTAAAGCACCATAACACTGGTCCAGGGAGGCGCTAGTAAACTCCTATCCTGGTCTCAAAACCCTACGAATTGAAAACATGCACATTCCCCATGACCCTAAACCCTAAACCCTGAGCCCTGCATCCTTGCACCTGAACTCCTTAGAGTCCTTGCCGAACCCCATCGAGCCCTCGCACTCCAAACCCCAAAAATCGCAGATTCGAAAATTAGGGGTACCTTGCTTTGGGGTCCTTATCATAAGGTTTCCTACTATTTAGGGTACTTCACTAGGGTATGTTCGGAAACTCCCAACAATAGTAGATTCCAGAACTCTAACATAACCCTAAACCCTAAGCCCTAAACCCCAAATTCTGAACCCTAAATCTTAAGCCCCTAAACCCTAAACCCTAAGTCTAGTTGCCAGTACCCCCGAAGCCGAGATCTGACTCCACGAGCTCTACTTCAAAGTGGCAAGTTTTAGTTTCAGGGTTCAGGGTTTAGTTTCAGGGCTCAGGGTTTAGGACTGGGGTTTAGGGCTTAGGGTTTAGGGTTCAGGGTTAAGGTTTCAGGGTTTCGGGTTCAAGGTTCAGGGTTTAGGTTTAGGGTTTACGGTTCAGGGGTTTAGGGATTGCAACTTCCTCTTCTAAACACTTACGATGATACAAGCGCCTTGAAGCCACAGGCCTCTTCAACACAAAACAGCCCTGCAACGCTTGAAATACATACATAACGTGCTATGTAGAATAGACTGTATAATTAACTATATGCTGTGTTATAGATAATCAACTATATCATGTTCCGAAAACTGCCTTAATTATTGACCACCTATTCGACTATACCATCTATATACTAGAATTGAAAAAGGACAACAAGCTGTAGATATACATATATATATATATATATATATATATATATATATATATATATATATATGTAATACACACATGTTGAAATAGTACATATATATATATATATATATATATACATGTATATATTTCAACATATATACACATGCAAAGTGAGCTCTAAAAGGTAAACGCCGAAACCCCGAACCCTAAGCTCCAAACCAACCTCAAGTTCGGGCCATATATCCAACTATATCACAGATACACACACCACACACACACACTCTCTCGCTCGCTCTCTCTCTCTCTCTCTCTCTCTCTCTCTCGACCTCTCTCTCTCTCTCTCTCTCTCTCTCTCTCTCTCTATATATATATATATATATAATATTACACCCTAAAACTAAACCCGAACCCTGAAACCACATATATATATATATATATATATACATGTGTATATATATATATATATATGGCATATATATAGAGAGAGATAGAGAGAGAGAGAGAGAGAGAGAGAGAGAGAGAGAGAGAGAGATTAATTAAAAAAAACTCTAAACCCTCAGCCAACTCGATTTTGTGCCCTGGAGCTCTCGAAGGGAGGCATCCTTGGCCTTGCTTTCGGCGGCCAAGGTCTCCTTAGGACGAGACGGTTTAGAGGGTTAGGGTTTAGGGCTTTAGGGTTTTATAGGGCTTTGGGTTTAGGGTTTAGGGCTTAGGGTTTAGGGTTTATGGCTTTAGGGTTTAAGGGTTTAAACGGTTTTAAGGGTTTAAGGGTTTAAGGGTTTTAGGGTTTAGGGTTTAGGGCTTAAGGGTTTTAGGGTTTGAAGGGTTTTAAGGTTTTAGGGTTTAGGGTCTAGGGTTTAGGGCTTTAGGGTTTAGGGCTTAGGGTTTAGGCTTAGGGTTTAGGGCTTGGGGTTTAGGGCTTTAGGGTTTAGGGCTTAGGGGTTAGGGTTTAGGGCTTTGGGGTTTAGGGCTTAGGGTGGTTTTGCGGTCTTTCCTGGCTCGGACATCGGGGTTCCTTTAACGGATCCTTAAGGGTTCCTTTTAAGGGATCTATATGGGATCTGTACTGTGGTATACCCGGAGCTCATTAGGACCGAAGGCGAAGAGAATCGCAGGTCGCGGGACTTAGGGTTTAGGGATTTTCTTTTGAGCTGCAGACTTTTTCGAGCTTTTAGCAGATTGGGGTTTGGGGGTGCAGGGTTTCGGGGTGGAAGGCTTTAGCTTTGCATTTTGTGTGTTTGATAATATGGGTGGGGTGGAGCGGGATGGTCCTTCTGGGTTTTGGGTTTGGAATGGTGTTGTTAATTGGCAGCTTCCTTAGTGCTCAGCTTCTGTTGCTCCTTCGTTGCAGTTTCGATCTTTGCTTTTTGCAAGTGTAGTTTAGGTCTGGAGTTTGGAAGTTCAGGGTTGGGTCAGTCAAAGGCTGAGCCTAAACGCTAAGCCCTTATCCCCTATCCGACTTCACTCCAAACCCTAAGCAATCAATAAACCCTCCGATGCAGGTTTGGAAGGTGTTACCCTGGGATCCGAAAAACCTACCGTTGTACGGGTTCCACCCTCTATCTAATTAAGGGGTCATAACCTTCTATTTTGTAGGGTTTGGCGATACACGAATCTCGCGGAATGGGGTGCATCACAATGCCTCTCTGTCCATAACCTGCCCTGAGCCCGTATGCTCCGACGGTTTTGGTTTCTTGTTCAGGGTCTAGGATTCGGGGTGGAGGGCTTAAAGGTTGAGGGCCTAGGGTGTCGCTCAGGGTTCACGGAATGGGGCTTACAGTGTCGGATACCTTTGTGCAGTGCCTACACACACCACTATCCTGCGCTATGCCAGGCACCGTTTTCCGTGTTGATATCTTAGCACACTACTATGTAGGCACGCTGCCTCCTCCCTACGTGACAAACCTCACTAATATAGAGGCCTTAATAATTAGAATAGGGGTTTGGGGTTCCTTATTGTAATCATAGTGTAATATACCCCCCCAACCCTGTTCTAAATATTATGGCCCCTCTATCAGCTTTCCGAAAATCCAAAGTACATAGGGCCCCAACTAGGGTAGGGATATCCCATATAGATCCCTTATAATGAAGCCCAATAAGGTAGGGATATCCCCATAAAATGCTTATGCATATGTGCTTTTTGGGTCCTTAAGTAGTTGATCTTGGTCGAGCTGCGATCCGCTCTTCCGCACGGTCCAATTCGCCGCGAAGCTCAACTTGGCTCGCGTCGGCCTTCGCGGAGCGGGGGGCTTCGAAGTTAGGGTTTCGGGTTCAGGGGTTTAGGGTTTATAGGGGTTTAGGGCTTATAAGGGTTTCGGGGCTTAGGGTTATTGCGCCCATGGGGATTTGGGGGGGTAGGGTTTAGGGTTCAGGGGTTTAGGGGTTTAGGGTTTATAAGGGTTTAGGGGTTAGAGTTATATAGGGCCTAAATAATTAGAATAGGGCTTTGGGGGCAGATCATACTACAACTATGATAAGGAACCCCAGCATTTCAGAGGTAATTACTGAGGCCCCTATATTAGGGTCCTGTCTTGGGTCCCCAAACGGGCACATCACAAGGGACCCTAACCGTCTCCGTAGCTCTCCACACCCTCAATAAAACTACGGTGGGTGATATAAATCCTGCATTACCTTAAGGACCCTAAACTATGGGATTTATGGTATATTACCTTATTATGGGTAGTGCAGGATTTATGTCATCAACCGTACTAATCAAAACGGCCTGCCGTTCGACGGACTCTTGCTAATTCCTAAACCCTAAACCCCAAAGCCCTAAACTGACGCTCAGCTTCGACATCGCACAAGAAACCCTCGACCGTGAGATCGTTGTATCGGGATGGGGCAGGCATGGGCTTGATATCACCCGAAAACAGGGCTTCGGGTTAGGGGTTACATAGGAGTTTGGGATGGTTCAGGGTTTAGGAGTGGTTTAGGGACTTTAGACCACAGCCTTACACCTTTAACGCCCTGAGGCACAAGCCCTTGCAGAAACTACGAGAAACCCAGTAAAGAAACTAACGAAATCCCTAACCATCCAAGCTGCAAACTGGTTCCACCACTCTCTGGGTAGAGCCTTCTTTGTTACCGTTCTGTCCGAAAAGGACTCAAAGCTGAGGCAACATCATTAGGCGTTTGGGTTTACGGCTTGGGATCCAAATAAATCTATAATGCTGATGGGCAGCTGCTGGATGTTTTCAACTCCAGGTAATTGTATGTGTGGGTGTGTATATATATATACACATATGTATGCATATACATGTAATCATGTATGCATGAATATATTCATGTATGGGTGGGTAGATAGATAGATAGATAGACAGACGGATAGGTGCAGACCGGTGACTTAGATGAGGTTGTGCTTCTCAAGAGGAGCTGGGAAGATGGTGTGGGGTCCAACTAAACACCCTAAACCCTAAACCCTAAACCTAAACCCTCAGGGCCTTGGCAAGTTGACCTTTGTGTGCAGCCGCATCTTTCTCCAAGACGAACTTGGCATTCCTGACGGTTTAGGGCTTGGGGTCTGCAGGATTTTTGGGAGTTTCCGAAACTAGGGGTACCTTATTATTTGGGGGTCCTTATGATAAGGATCCTACGATTTAGGGTACCATATAAGGGTCCCCTGTTTTCGGAAAACCCCATTTTGGGGGATGTAGGGACTGAGAGTTTCGGGATGCCTGGGCTCGATGAGTCCATGGGTTTGTGCCTAAACCCCAAACCCTACATCCTAAACCTCTAAACCCCTAAACCCTAAACCCTAAACCTCTAAGCCCCTAAACCCTAACCTCTAAACCCCTAAACCCTAAACCCTCAACCTCTAAACCTCTAAACCCTAAACCTCTAAGACCCTAAACCCTAAACTGCATCGCACACGGAGGTCAAGAGAGAACAGCATGCAATGCAATGTTACCCTAAGGGTCCATGTAAACAAACAGTGTAGACATTGGCCTTAGAGTAGTCCCTATATAGGTACATCGGGCCCGAAGCATATAACATTTGGGTACATGGACCCTTAGTGCTACATCACAAACACCACTGTATGCCAGAGAGAGCACCTGACAATATGCAATGCACCAGAACTTTCTGCCCCAACACCATTTACCCTGAAGAACCTGCAAAGAAGCCCAAGCACGGCTTTCTTCAGTCACGAATTTCCTTCAGGGCGCCAGTTCCCAATAATGAGGTACTAGTACTTGTGTTTATGGTGATCGGAAACGCAGATTAAGGAATATGACATTGTTAGGTACTCGAACCCTTCGGGTATCAGGACTTGTGAATCGTGCAAAGATCGCCAACCAACTTACAAAGCTGGCAGAGGTACTACTTGGAGGATCGTGGGAACTAGTAAGTAATTAGGGTTATAAGTACCTTCATTGGGGTTATAAGTAGTTATAAGTATAGTTACCCTAACAATAACCTTAATTACTAAGTCCCGTGATCCTTCAAGTAGTCTATCAACTCGGCACTTCATTCCGCGACTCCCACTCTAGCTCACACAGTCTTAACCCACTCTGCAAGTTGGACCCTTTAGTAAACCAGAATCCTGATCAGGCATCACTAATCGTAAAACCAGGCCCAGAGGGCCCCTAAACCCTAAACCCTAAACCCTGAACCCTAAACCCTAAACCCTAAACCCTAAACCCTACAGCAGTGTTTTCGGTACGAAAAACTCTCAGAGTAATATGGGTGCCTTAATGCTTGGAATAGGGTTTTGGGGCCCGTTATACTATAATCATAATAATGAATCCCCAAGTTAGTATTGATAATTATTAATTCAAGCCCCTATGTTATCGAACTTGGGACCTCAAACCCAGCTATTTTTGCACTCGAACCATTTGGGGGAACCACAGCTGGGGGTCTGGACCCCGTAAACTCCGAATCAACGCCCGAGCTGCGAAAGGCTCTCGTGTTGTGCCCGGAGCTGGGTGTGATCCTCCGTGACCGCCTCGTCAGCTTAGGGCCTTTGTTTGGTGTAAAGTGGTCTATAGTCTCCACTGTCGTGCCCTGGCTGGGGGTACCTTTTAGGATAACACTGGTTAAACCCACAAAAGGAGCTACAACGGAGACTGAAGGTAGGGCTACTTCGGCACCAGAATGGCCCTCATTACGGCCTATTGCAAAGCGCGCATGAAGCCCTCGCCTTGTGAACCCGCCTGAAGCTGAACTCATCCAACCTCTAGCTCTAAACCCAAAACCCCAAACCCCTAAACCCCTAAACCCTAAACCCCTAAACCCCTAAACCCTAAACCCCTAAACCCTAAACCCCTGAACCCCAAACCCCACTCCATGGCTCCTGTCTACGGACTTCATCCCTACTCTTGTGCTAGTTCTACATTTCTGAACTTCTGGTGCGGAACTTCTCGTGAGGAACATTTCGCAACCTAAGCGCTCCGCAGAGCAGGGCGAACGTGGCATGCGCACCCTGACTTGAAGCACTGAAAGTACACGCTAACCATCTGCTTCCCGGGCGAGGCTCCAAGCCGAGCAGCAGCAAAGTATTGTGCGCCGGCTGGACGTCTGCATCGTTAGCAGCACCCGCACTTCCAGGCTGATGCATGCACTTTGGCCGCTTCGACTCCAGGGCCCCTTACATCCCCGGCCAGAGCAACTTTGCCTCACTGCCCCTCAGACACCTCAGCTCCCGGATGCATACTCGAATTACCACAAACACTCTGGTCCCGATGCCGTGCCCGGGTTCTTGCAGGGGACGAAGTTCGGGACGCGCCGAATTAATAAGAATGCAATTCAGACTGCCACTCCATGTCCAGCTGACGAGCTCCAGAGAAGTCCACCGGTGCAACGCCGGCACTTCCCCTGGAAGTCGTGGCCTCTGCGCCCACGGGACAGCCTCCTCCAGTGTCTGGCTTGCTGCGAGCCACAGGATGCTCTCGCAAACCCGCCGCAGCGAAGCAGTGCCGACCGCGGCACCCGGAGGACTCCCTCGTGCAAAACGGCCGCTGGACGACCCCCTAAGCTCCCCAGAAAGAACTCTGAACGTTAAACCCTGAGCCTAAATAAACGAACGAACCGTTGCTTTTGTATTCTCCCGTGCACTTCTATTGTTGAGCCAGCATATGGTTTGAATTTACCATAATTCAGAACCAGGTAACCACAAAAAGAACCCGGTTGGAGAGGAGTTAACTTGTAGCTAAACCCAAACGTTCCGCCCCAGCGCCCTGACACCCCGAACACAAAACCCTGGGAGCTAATTCCTACTCTCTGAACCAAAACACCTAAGCCCAAAACCCTCTGCCCCCTAAACTCTAAATCTTGTTCGACAGGCACAAAACCGAAGCCCCAAAACCCTGAACTTAAGCACCCTTGGAATAAACAATAATCTTGAATAATCCCCTGGACTTTCACTATAACAGAGAGCTGGAGCATGAGCCAAGTTCCAAGGCTGTCCCGAAGGGTCCAATTACCCGACTGTATGGTTCGGGGTGCAAAATCTTAAACTCCGAGTGGTTTTCGTCAATTACCCCAAACCCTACTCTTCTAGGCGCCAAGAACCATTCGGAGGATAGAACTTGGGGGTTTACGAAAATGAGGGACCCTAAAGTAATATGGTACCCTAAATAGTACGATCCTTATTATAAGGACCCCAAAATAAGGTACCCCCAATTTCGGAAACTCCCACTTGGGACCTGAACCCCGACTGTGCGGGTGTCAAACGATGCCTCCCAATCACCTTTGTAGCGCTCTGCGATGGCACGCGCGGAGGCGAGCTTTTCCTTCAGGCGCATTGCGACCTTGCACAGGGGTTGTGGGCTTACTGGTTGGAGGTATGTACCTGTATCCCCAGACCCTACAAAATGGTGGTTTATGACCCCTTAATTAGAGGGTAGAACCCTTAAAACTTTAGGTTTTCGGATTCCAAGGTAGTGGTTGTGCGTATGTAGGGTTTACCAGACGTTGTGGTTTAGGCTATACAAGGTGTTGCAAGGTTCGGTGCCTCTTTTGTAGCAAGACCATCCAGAGATTTGCACAGAGCTTTGGTTAAAAGGTCTAGGAAGTTCCGGATAGATCTTGTGCCGATCCCTAAATCCGAAACCATATAACCCTTTAACCTTTAACCCGGAAACTCTGAATCCTAAATCCTGAACCCTAAAGCCCACACCGTCCTTAAAGCCCCAGAAGTCCACTGGGTGCGCGGCACTGTGACCCTCTGCAACTTGCTTCTGAAGCCGCTGGGTGTTGCCTGGGTCCCCAGGAGCCCTAATTAAATGCGACATGCAAGCCTTAAGCCCTGAGATCCTAAATCCTAAATACGCCAATCTTGAAACCCAGGTCCAAAACTGTCGTAGCTCTGAACAAACCTAAAGCAAGAAATCCTGCGTTTACACGCTTGAAGCGTTTGAAATTCAGGCAGTAGACGTTGATTACGGCTGGTATGACTCTGTGCAAGCCCATGGCGACATGTGGCAATCAGGCCCTGATGCAACGAGATGCTGAAACACCGAATGTCCTTGTGGTTGCTGCAGGATGTCGGGGTTAGGGTGGCGGAGTAGGGATCGGTCACTCTGACTCGCGCTTTCGTTCGTAGACGCCTGTGAAAGGGTAAGACAAACGATACGCATTTCAGAACATGAGGCACTTGTTCTTCAGCTGTCTTGAGGGTGACTTCTGGTGTCTTGGTTTCCCTCAGCCCAAAAACATTGCTCTCGGTTCTGCGACACAACCGCGTTCATGGATGCTTGGCTATGTTATTCCGAGCGTATGGTCTCGTTAGATCCGAATCCCTAAACCCTTAAGCTCTAAACCCTCGTTTTGTCCAGCATTTGGGTGTTACCTCGAAACCTCGAACCTCCACCACATGCAATCATCGACACAGAGCCAAGGCTCTCACCTCCCGTCCTACCTCTTCAGCAACCGGATCAGCCTAGAAAGACCGTATAAACAGACCGGCATCGCTATAAACCATACAAGCCCTAAGCCCTAAGCCCTAAACATAAGCCAGGAACCCCATAAGCACCAACAAACACAATGCACATCCCACCAGACTTGACACCAAACGTGAGTAACCACCCTGCACACATCCTCCAACGTCCTACGACAAGTTGGAGTTTCCGAAAATAGGGGACCCTAATATAGTACCCTAAATAATACGATCCTTATTGTAAGGACCCCAAAATAAGCTACCCCCCCCCCCCCCCCCCCCCGCGAATTTTCGGAAACTCCCAAATCACACAACAGGCCCTCGAATCCGAGTGGCCAATTGCCTGACCCAGCTTTCCTCGAAGAGCGCCAGCTGTACCTTTCATCACTGAGGCGCTTTGGGATTTTAGGTTTCTGGGTTGTTGACCGCAAGGGTTGGGTTTGATATACATCATAGTACACTTGGCATGCAGAACCCTGAGGAATGGCATTAAGAAATTCTTGAGGCTTCTACACGTGGATCGAGTTGAATCCCTACCCACCCTACTTCAGTCAGACCTTGGAAAATGAACCGGGCAATGATCAATGAACGGGGCAATTACCCAAGAGACCATACACATCTATCTATCAATCTACCTATCTGTTGGTCGATCATTGGTTTATTATCTATGAAACTCGGAAAACCGTCCGCAGGTTGCCTTGAGAAGCCTTCAGCTGCTCCGTCAGGGCGGTTACGCGGCTTGAGAGCCTGGGACTCGGCAGGGGTTTAGGGTTTAACGGTACGGTATGCCCGAAGGGTCCGAAGTACCTTTATAGTCGAATGTAGGGTTTCGATATTCGGAATTCTTACTTGGAGGTTCATGGGTAGTTATAAGTAGGGTTATTAGTATAGGGCAACTATACTTGTAACCGCCATTAGGGGAATTATAACCCGACCTATAACTAATTACCCCTGAACCTCCAAGTAGGGTTAAACGTTTAACCGTATGAAGGAATTGTCAAGGGTTTGGGCTGTGGGCTGGCGGGACTGCACGAGCTCTGATAGTTGCGCAGCTGATTGTTGCTTGGGGCGGACTGTGACGGGCTTGACGCATTGTTAGCGGTTCACGATGAACACAGACACGCAATTTCTATTCGGTTCAGGGTCCTGGGGTTTAGCGGTTTAGGGTTATCACGCTTATGAGTATTTCGATTAGTCCTCAGACTTGCTTGAAGGATCTTGTGCTCTCTGGGAATCGGATATTCGAAAACCATGCACAAACACCCAGAGACCTTCACTTACCTGATAGATGCTGCATAGGACTCGGGTTTGAGTTTAAGGTTTAGAAAAGCTTGCAAACTCTACATCCCGAACCCTAACCTCAAACCCTTAAACTCTCAACGCAGGTTTAGCGCCTGCAGGTGTGGGCAAACATTCGGGAGCAGCTATCCTTTCCGTCGTGATCTTCGTAATATAGGGGCCTTAACACGTCGAATAGGGTTTGGGGGCCCATTCTGCTATAAGTGTAATAAGGAACCCCCAAGCTCTGACGGCTTGTGCGGGTGCGGGGGTCTTGAATGAAGCTAGACCTAAGGCTTCCTGTGCCCACATAGTATGTACTTAGGTCTTAAAGTACCTATACAGGGACCCCTTTAAGGCTTAAATATCTACTGTAGAGATACATGGAGCCTTTGGGGGCTAAGTCTGAGTGTTCTCGAAGTCCTCATAAGCATGCTACTATGCAGGGTCTACGATCGATCCGATATTTCACGAAACTCCACCTTTAGCCTGGAAAACCTTAGCAACGTCGCATCCCGAAATCTCGCCGTGCCATACCTGGTGCAAGCGGGCCATCCCTGCACCTGAAAAACTCGGCTTCCTGGTCCTTGAGTTGGACCTAGACCCTATAATCCCTCAACCATAAATCCTCAAAATCTTTAAACCCCAGACCCTGAACCTGAACCCTTAGGAAACTGGAAGCTCAGGCGGGGTGGCAGGCTTGGTGTCAGGATTTCAGGTTCCCAGCGCTTCATGACGAGAATCTCTCCCTACTTGGGGGATCACGGGACTTAGCAGCAGATACCTTAAGCCACCATAACCGACTTGTTTGTAGGTTCGTCTCCTAATATGGAATTACAGGGGCCCTACACACAAGTAGGTGCTGGCAGGATGAGGCATGGTTACAAGTACCTGGTTTTTTCCTCAAGGTACAGGATACACTAATAATATGACTAAGCCCCATGATCCTTAGATCCTTTCAGTACTGACACTCACAGTAACCGTAACCCTTGTAGTAACCCGTATACCAACCCTTTAGCCCTAAACGAAGCTAAGCAGCTAGATCCCTGTGAGCCCTAAACCCTACATCTCAAGACCAAATCCTAAACCCTTAAACCCTAAACCGTAGCCGCCCTTAAATCCTTCAACCTGCAAAAAACTATGCCCAGCAGCTCTATCATGGCCGCAAAACAAGTGCCGGCATCTTCTGCGTACTGACTCTTCAGCTTCCTGCTCAGGGTTGTCTAGTTGCTTCCTGCACAACCCCGTCTAGAACAAACCGGCTTTTAGAAATTATAAATCTTAACGGCTAAACTTCGGGAATATGTAGAGAAGAGATGTCTGGAGCATCCCTGAACACTTCAAACTTCAAACCCTCCCAAAGGCTCACGCATACTATGTATATACCCTACATGGTACATATTCAGGGTTCCAGGTACCAAGATAGGAACTCCTCTAAGGCCTGTACTATGTAGGTTCATGTAGCCTTCTGGCCGATTACATTCACAACCCTACTGAGTTGCTGAGTTCATAGCCCCCCAAAAGTGCACACTTTTCGATTTTGTCGTGGGTAATAGGTAATATTAGCCCAAAAAGTGTAAAGTGTATCCACTCAGCTACTAAGCCTACAAGACTCTCTAAACCCTAAACCCTAAACCCTAAACCCCTAAACCCTAAAACCCTAAACCCTAAACCCTAAACCCTAACCCTAGAGTCCCCTAAAAAAGAACACCGAAGGCCGCAGGCTGAAACCGCGCTGCACTCGCACTTGCGGCTTCAAGCATCTTCGAGCTCTCTGACTCAGCCCTCTGAACTATACTGAACTTAGAACCCTAGCAACAATTATAATTTCAGATGTTTCTCAGGGATTATAATAACCCAAAATTCAAAAATATTTCTGAGTACCCCTAAGTGAAGGCAAGTCTGAAGTAGACGAAGTAGATTTGGTTTAGCCTATGGCTAAAGCTACGAAGATTCACGAGATAAGACTGTCTAAACGGAACTCTTTCTATTGTTAGGTTAGGAAGGAACATACCTAAACCCTAAATCCTAACAGCACCTTTTCCAACACTCAGAGCTTCGACTACGAACTTGCGCAGAAGGCCAGGTGGAGATGTGGGTTAGGAACGGGAGGCTCAGGAGTCTCGGGTCAAGGTGTATCCGGGTTTCATGGGTATTGGGCTTAGGCTAGGGTTTTTGGTGTGATGTGGTTTCCTTTGAACTCGTGGTTTCAAGCTTTACGGTCCTAGGGCCTTTTAAATGAATTGGAACGCACGTTAAGGGCGTAGCTCCCGGTGGCCAAAGTCGTGAACCACAGACAATCAGTTTCGGAGCGGCGGGCGTAGAGTTTAGGGCCGGCATTCTTTTCATAACAACGATAATTTAAAGCATGTCGTGGTTACTGGGATATCTTAATGAGTTTACCACGTGCTCTGCTATGATGTTGTCGGACGGTTGCTGCGATTCTACCACAGTTTCAGTTGCGGAGCTCTTCCAGGGGTTCAACAGGTTCGGGATGAGGTTTGGGGATCTTCGGCATTCAGCTTTCCGGTTCAAATTTGGGAGTTTCCGAAAATAGGGGACCCTTATTAGGGTTCCTTTAAAGGGTGCCATAAGGGCTCCTTTAAAGGATCTATAGGGTTCTATAAAGGGTTTAGGGTTCAGGTTTGGGAGTTTCCGAAAATAGGGGAGCCTAATAATATAGTACCGTAAATAGTAGGATTCTTATTGTAAGGACCCCAAAATTAAGGCACCCCTTGTTTTCGGAAACCCCCATTTGTCTCCAAAGCCAGACCATCGAAAAGGAGACGCTACCCATACAGGCCCCATACATTCCTGGCCCATACATTCCGAAGTGTGTACCTTAGCCTGCATCAGACATTAGGGGTAAAGGTGGGGCACGGCCCCCACCCTCTAACAGTTTCTGTAAGGAGTCATACTAAGGGCCAGGATATACTTATCTCAGAAGCACCTGTAATTAGTCTCCATCGTAATCCCATTGTTTTGTTTAACTGGTTTTACCCTTAGGATCCTACAAGGTACGCCCCCCCGCGCCCAAAAAAAAAAGGAACTGCAATGGCGACTGTAGGTACATTATCCAACTGTTACAGAATGGGTGCAGTAGCCTAGGGAAAGGTCCCTCTTAAGGTTTGGGATCTGGGTCTTCGGTATAGGGTCGAGATAGAAGGTGCACTGTCGAATCGCCGAGTTGACTGCAGAAACCACAGCCAACGCAACATGCCCCGGAGAACCCAACACAACCCCTGGCAACATGCCCTGAAGTTCTGCAAGGGTACTTTTCCTTGCATGAGGCATGTTCCTTGATTCACGCCAGTTGGGTTCTCTAGTTTGCAGTCTCCCTACACACACTAAGCCAAGAACCCAAAACCCGTCTCGCTTCAAGCGTTATCGGTCGCACAGAACCCTCATACAATGCCAATCCCAAACACTAAATCAACAACCACTAAAGCTGCAGGGCTCAAAACTCAACCCAAATAAGCTAGACCCCAAACCTTAAAACCCAGGACCCTAAACTCAAGGGTTTAGGGTATGGGATTTTGCTGTTGCTTTTTAGGGCCTACTTTCCGTCTGTGCAGGAGTCAATGGGGGTTTGGGGTTTGAACCCTGACCCTAAGATTCAAAGTACCCAATAATCATATACTCTCCCGAATATTCAGCTACATAACTTCTATCCTAAACCCAAGTACCTGATTATTGGGTCCTTTGGACCCTTGGGTTTTGAATCCTTAAACCCTAAACCTTCAAGAAGCTCTTTCTTCCGTCCTGGCGGTCGCATGGCTCACCTCCAACTCCTTCGCTGGGCTTCGGCATCGCTGTGTTTAGCCCTTTTCGGACGGGGAGGGGATTTTGAGGTTGCAACTTAAAAAAACCAAAGTGTAGCTTGGGGTCTAGTCTAGGGTTCAAGGTTTACAGGGTTGGGGTTTGTAAGGTCCTAAGGGCTTTGAAAGGTTAGGGCCCAGAGCCAGGCATGGTCTGGGCCTCCAAATTACACTCCTCATAGATCTGGCTGCAAAGTCTTTCCGGAAGCAAAAAACGCCAGCATAGGAGCCGATGTTCTTGAGTAGCCCCTTTATGATAAGCGGAAACGCTTTACTATTCGGCTTTACAGAGGGGAATCCAAAAACAAAAAGGGTACTACTCAGGAACCTAGGACCTGGGAGCTATTTCATAGCACCCGACGCAACTACACAAGACAAAGTCCTATCAGACTAAACATGCCGCCACCCCTCTTCCAAAAACGAAGCTTCAAGCACTTCAAAGCCTTTCGCTATAAGGTCGTACCCGGAGTTCAGGAGGATATCTGCTCCACCCAACATGACCTCGACTCCAAGCATGCTCTACGAACAAACAGCCTGAATCCCATACCCTTGACCCGAAAACATATTGTACGAAGCCTATAAGTACCCTTAAAGTAAACCCCGATAAGAACCCTGGAAGTAACCCTGTAGCACCCTTACTTAAAGTATATCCTATACATGTTATAACGCCTCAGCCCTCAACCCTAAACCCCTAAACCCTAAACCCCTAAACCCTAAGCCCCAAAACCCTGAACCCCAAACCCTCAACCCTACATCCCCATGCCCCAGACCAAAGGCTAGTCTACCCTGTCTAGGGCTCCGGGACCGGAAAGCTCGAGACCCCAATCCCTAATCCCTAAACCTCAACCGTTTAATATGGGGGCCCTAATAATAAGAACAGGGTTTTGGTGTATATTATGCTATAGTAAGGAACCAGCCCAAAAAATAGTACAGGTAATTAATAAAGTACCTTTCGTAGCTTGGGGCTTCTTGGCCCAGTACAAATGCAGCAAACACAGGTGGCCTGAAGCTTCGAGTTCAGCTCCGTAAATTGCCCCTCCAGCTCTCCAACCTTGCAAAGGGTTCAGGCCCCTGGCGGTTCTTGCGTTGACACTACTTTTGGGTCTCTGCGGGTCCTTTAAAAGTTCCTACAAGGGTCCCGAGAAGGGTTCTGTCTGGGCTGCTTTTGGGATGGTTCTGAGGGTTGTGTATGCTAAACCCTAAACCCCTAAACCCTACAGTAAACCCTTAGGCCTAAACCCCTGAGCCGTAAAACCCTCACAAGGGCTCCGCGAGGCCGGCATGTTTTTCGGGTTTATGCTAATTTTCGGGCTTGTACGGGTTCAGGGTGACACTTGTGGGTTTGTCTACGTTTACGGGTCCGTTTCAAAGGGCTGACTCTTGTAAATCCAAAACCGTAGCTATAAGCGAACCATCAAACCTGAAGCCCCGAACTCGTGGAAGCAAAAGTACCTCTTGTAGTCTCAGGACCTTGATCTAGCATGTAGATAGCACCTGCTTCGCCCAAAGGGTCCTAGGTACTGTTATGGGGGATACTTCCCCAAATCATAATAGTAATTCCTGATATAGAAACCTACATTGTACTATAAAGGTACTTTGGACCCTTTGGGTCAGGTGTCTGAGGGTTTCTACAGAGTACGTGAAAGCCGACAGGCCCGAATTCGAGAAGCCTTATGCAACACAACAACAAAACTACTTCTTAATCCCCTCAGCGAACCCAAAACATCGATTTTCCATAAAGCCGGCGTCAACCTGACAAACCCTTAAAGGAATGATTCAAGGTCCCCTGAAAGTCTTGAACGGCGATGATGCAAAACAAAACCGTGTAACTTCGGAGGTCCAGGGTCGACGGCCGAAGGAGCTGCAAGAATATACGGCTAGAATGACCACATAATCATACACCAGTAACCCATTAGACCATAAACCCGTGAACCTAAACCCTAAGCCCAAATTCACCGTTTATCAAACGACGGGGGGCCCCCCAAAAAAAGAAAAACACGAAAAATCGTCAAGTGTCATGATTAATCATGATGACATTATGGTGTATTTTTGTTTCTACTCTCATTGTTGAAGGATCTTGCTCTTGCTCCTGCTCCGGTTCCGCTCCTGCTCTTCGTCTTGCTCTTGCTGCTGCTCTTGCTCCGGGTCTTGCTCTTGCTCCTGCTCTTGCCCTTACTCCTGCTCTTCATCCTGCTCTTACTGCTTCTCTTGCTCCTGTTCTTGCTCATGATCTTGCTGTGGCTCCTGCTTGTGCTCTTGCCCCTGCTCTTGTCTTGCTCTGCCTGCAACTACCCCATATTAGAGCCTAATTACCAACTATGCTGGACCTAGCATAAGGCCTCCATTAAATGGCACTTGGTGCTGGTAAACCCCCAACCCAAACACCGCAGCATCGATTCCAGGCATGGACAGGCCTGGTCCAAGATCCATACGGCTTCCTGGCTGCACGCTTAGGGCTCCTTGTCTAGGGTTTAAGGTCAAGGACAAGTGTATGAAACTCTATACAATATATATATATATATATATATATATATATATATACATATGTATGTGGATCCGCACGGACCCTGCAACGCTTATATCATTGGCACAAAACAAATACCAGGGAAACGTTGCATGAAAGATAGGACCTCCTGCGACTACACTTCCCCAGAGTCGCAAGTAAGATTGAGCAGTGGCGGATTAATCCTGCAGGTATCAACACGGGCATGGGAGTGTCAGGGATGAACCCAATGGGCTTGGCTGGCACTCGTGCTTATTTCACCATGTGATTGATCTTCTGACCCTTTTCGACTATTATTAGACTATTAGTGGCGGGACTCATCCGAATATGCGGACTTGGACGGAATAGGATAGCCTAACAACAGAGGCCTTAAGAATTGGAATGCGTTTGAAGCATTCTACTCACTTACTAGATCGAGACTGTCGCGGCGTAATTTCCCGTAGCCCCACGCAGACCTGTGGCATGTCGGCATACTCGTCCGTAGTCTCCTCAGGCGCTTTGAGAATCGGCAGGTCCTCACAGGGGGCAGCTAGACATATCAAAGATGCCGGTTTTCCGTGATATGCACGATTTTCCCACAAGCCCAACAGCTAGTTACACGGAGGCCCAAGAGACCCCAGTCTATAAACCATCAACCCGACCCCCGCCTGTACTACAGACTTCGTCTCGGCCTCTTCTTGCCTCGGAGGTGGCCGGCGCAGGTTGAGGGGCTTTATAGCCCTCATGTAGGAATCTGATTAGGAAACCTTGGGCCTTTACTAGGGCTCCTTATATGAATCCGACTAATATGGTGGTTATGGGGCCAGGGTTTCTTAATCAGGCTCCTACATTACCCAGGGCAACAGCCTTCGTTCTGATGGGCCCTATGTTGGGATGATACAGTGGGTTCGATGTTCCCTAAACCTAGGCCCCAGGCATGTTTTTTGTGTTCCCCGGTTTAGGGTTGAAGGGTTTTGGGTTTAGGGGTTTAGGGTTTCGAGGTTTAGGGTGTAGCGGCTTAGGGTTTAGAGTGTTTAGGGGTTTAGGGCTTTTTTGTGTTCCCCAGGCATGAATGAATAAAACTGTAACTAAGCCTTTTTACCGAGATGCGGGGCTTCACCAAAAGCTCCATGTACCTTTATAGCAGATACTTAAGCCTTAAAGGGGTCCCTATATAGGCACTTTAAGGCCTGATTGTACACTATATGGAGACATGGAGCCTTATGGTTCGGGACTGTTTGCGACCCCTCCTGCAACGACGGGCAACCAAGTTGCGGGGTCGAGGCATTCCCGACCTCCAAGCCACCTGCCAGGCGGTGTTGGGCTCAGGCTTTGTGGTCGTGCAGATGTGCAGAAAATCATAGCATAGACAAGGGGCGGCACCATAATGCTAGCTGCTAACCGCCAGCCTATACCCATAGGCGCAGTTCCTTTTTGAGAGTACGTGTATCTTATAGGATTCTATATATGAACCAGAAAAAGGAACTACTCTGGGGCCTATGGGTATAGGTAAGGCCACGGGAAACATAGCAAGAACCCAACAAATCATCTCCAGTCTGCAGGCGTGTCATAGTCAAGGCATCTACGGCACGATCACACTGAGAAGCATGTCCGAACTTTTAAGCAACCCTGCGGCTCCATGTACCGATATAGTATATAATTAGGCCTTAAAGTACCTGTATAGGGACCCCTTTAAGGCTTAAGTATCTACTATATGGGTACATGGAGCCTTTGGGTAAGGGTCCAGGGCTTGAATACTGTGGGCCGAACCGACCGGACTTCCTCTTAGGCACCTTAGAGGCACAAGTATGTACATGTACACTGCTCGAGTACAAGGCCCTAATCCGAGGCAACTCCCAAACCTCCTTAACACCAGAGCACGAGGCAGCAATATCCTAAAGGACTTCTGCCTGACATCTCATATGTTACGCGCAAAAACCCTTAACCCTTGGAGCCGAAAATCCTAAAGCTGTGTATCTCTCGCCCCTAAACCCTCAACCCTGAACCCTAGACCCTAAACCCTAGACCCTAAACCCTGAACCCTAGACCCAAAACCCTACGCCTGCTTTCTCCGCCCGACGAAGCTCGATCTCTGCGGCCAGCAACCGCCTGAGATGGCTCGTCTGGGATATTCGGTAACATCCCCTTGCCACTATCCGCTTTGTGAAATTCCCCTTAATAGGCATCCTGTGGTACTCGTACACTTGCATGAATCAGTTTTGGAGACGAGAACTCGAACCACAAATGCAGAACCCCCCGCCCCCGCCCTATACACCCTTACTTTTGGGGTTAGACGGCCGCATTTGAAAAATAACTGAGACTGTTTGCGTTCTCTCCATTCAGGTAGGTCGGTTTGATCTAGCCGCTGCAGCGGAAAGAATATCTTCGATGCATGTCACAGCAACATCTCAGTCTTTACACATCCAGAGCCTCCCCTCAATCCGAATCACCTAAACATTTGTACATCCGAAGCCCTAAATAGATGAAACCGCAGACCTGGAACCTCTGAACCCCGAGCACCAGCCAGAAACCCCCAAACACCGAAAGCCTCCCGAAATCCTTACACCCAAAGCGTTTACTCAGCACCACCCTAGGCGCCACAGCATCGGTATCTAAAGGCCAGGGCACTGCCGGCAGCCCTCCAAACGGGGAGGAATTTGCTCCAGGAAGCCTGCTTACAGGGTTCCGGGTAAGGGGGTCTAGGGTTCCTTTTTTTTTAAGGGGTGCATTGGGACTTTCACTCTGCCGGCTCCCTGCCCAATTTGGGCTTGCACAAGTAAAAGTTTAGGGGCTTAGGGGTTGAGGATTTTAGGGGCTTAGGGGTTGAGGATTTTAGGGTTTAGGGGTTTAGAGTCTATGGCAGGGTTTGGGAGGGCAGTGTAAAAATGCAAGGCTGCGGATGCTGGGATGCTGCGGCTTTGGTGATGGATATTCGGAATATTCGGGATTACGGTTTGGGGGTTTCGGGCGCAGGGAGTTTAGGGTTAGCGGCGGGCTCTGGGGTTTTGGAAAACTTATTATTCGCATGCATGTGCGCACCTATAAAACTATAGGTAAACCATTGTAAACCCTAAACCCATGAACCCTAAAACCCTAGACCCTAAAACCCCCCCCCCCCCCCCAAAAAAAAAAAAAAAACATTAACCCATAAACCATTAACCCCGAAACCCTAAACCCTAGACCCTATAAACCCTAAAGCCCAAAACCCCAAAACCTGAAAGCTGCAGAAATCTGCGGCCTGGGATGGCCCAGCGAGGCCATGAAGCGATCATGGCCTCCATGGCGAAAACGTCAGGCTTTGGGGTTTAGCGTTTTTGGGCTTTAGGTTTAGGCTTTAGGGCCTTTAAGGGTTTAGGCTTTAGGGTTTAGGGGTCGGGGTTCGGGTTTTTGGGCTTTTTCTGGATTTTTTCAGTCTGAGAGTTTTGGGCTTCGGGGTTCAGAGCGCTAGATTTCGGTGAAACGGCGAAGAGTTTCGGAGAATTGGAGTTGGGGGATTTGGGGGGGTACCCGTGCCGTAGGAGCAGGGCTTATGCTTCGGGATCTGAGTCTATGGCGCATGATGCCTTACTTAGGTTCGAGCCCTGGAGACCTGAGGTAAAACCGTGGGACTTGTGTCGTCCTTCGAGTCTTGTCGGGAGCAGAGATCCAGCGAGCAAGCAGTTCCTGCAGACCCCAGTAGCTCACAACAACTTTCCACGGCATGAAGGTCTGGTGGTCGTCTTCCTCGATCTTCGTGCGGGTTAAATGGGTAGCTTGCCTGCAAGTATGCATCTTTCAGGCCTCCGGCGGCCGACACCCCTGCGAGGAGAGCTCAGCACAGCGTTGGGGTCTTCTGAATCCGCGTCTGCGTGTCGGGCCGTTTGGCATTCTGCTTTTGCTATAAAAAGTCTGCAAGAAAAATACAAGATATTCACCGTAACAACTATATACGAACATAAAGACATGCACATGTTGATGAAACGACGTATCCTGAACCTGCTCCTCTACGCCATTTTTCACCCCTGGCCCTAAATCCTACGAGAGGATCAACAAGACAGCATACTGGGATGCAGAGTAAGGAGATGTAGGATTTAAGCCTTGCCGCTTACATAGTATACACAGGGTAGCTTCAGCGGTACCCCCCCCCCCCCTCAAGTCCATAGTTGTGGCAGAGTGTTTAGTTGTGTCCCAGGGCTGGAGTAAAACAAAACTCACACTGAAGCAACATGTATAACTGTATAACCAGTTAGTCCAAAACATGTCAGATCTAGATGCTGCATCACCGCAAGGGTCTAAGTGCCCAATAATCATATACACTCCCAAATAGTAACCTACATAACTACTACTCGAAACCTAAGTACCCCATTACTGGGTCCTTTGGACCCATAAAGATAGCTTGAAACACTGCAGAAACCCTGAGCCAGGATTTGGGTTGAAGGCCTACCTCTAGTCTCCATTGTAGTTCCCGTTTTTGGTTAACCAGTTTTATGGTGAGGATCCTATAATGGGGATTTTGGCTAACCAAAAAAAGGAACTACAATGGAGACTACAGGTGCAGTACTTAGTAGGGCTAAAGTCTGGACCCTCCTTCGAAAGCCCTATAGCCACAGGGAGACGCCTCGGTCGGTGAGGAAGGAACTTGCCTGGGCAACACTGATCCAGTCTGGAGGACGGGTGAGTACTTAGGAATTTGGGCTTTTTTGGGTTTAGAGTATAGGGTTCACCGTTATACCACTGAAGTTGTTTCATGCTCCTTGTTTATGTCGCGTTGACGCTTCGGGGGCTCAAACCTACTTACGCGTCGGCTTTTGGTCGGGTACTCTCAGTGCTTGGGTTGAAGGTTTAGAAGGTTTACAGGGGAGACACTAACACGCCGGTCCTCGATGCGTAGGCCAGTCGCGTCTAGAACCCTATCAAGAGCTTACAAGACCATCTAGCTCATAGAACCCTGAAATAAAGCTGCCATTGACGGCCACGAGGCCAAGAACCTCGCGTGGAGCCAGGAGAAATACCATGACCTGGCAGTTTGGCTGTGTTGGGCCATGTTGGGCCTAATATGGGGCCGATAGCACAGGGGTTTGGGGTACAGTAAACTCCATAAAGTTGGAAACCCAATAGCCTCAATCCTTAAGAGTAATGTATAGGGAATCCCAGCACGATTTGGCCTTAATCCGGTTTCCAACTTTATGGGGTTTACTGTATATCGTAGTATAGTTATATTCGGGACTATACGAGGAAGTGATCATGATTTGTTCAGGCCCCTGTATATTTTCTGCGATAAGATGCAATGAGGCTAGCATGAAGTAAAGCGGCTTTTGTGAACGCTTCTGCCCTGCCGCTGCGGATTCGCAGCCAAATCCTGACCAACGTGCGACTTGACCACCACCACTAATCAACCCTAAACCCTTATCCCGAATGTTAACCCTTCCACTCCGCTTGGGATCAGCGGAATGCTGATGCTCATGGTCTGTTCCTTATAATCATCGTCATCCGCCTGATCTTCATCGGCACTGTCAGTTCGCAGAATCAGGAAACAATCATGATCCGCCCGCAGCATTTGCTACGACAACGACATCAACGACCGCTGCAACGACTTCGACCACCACCGCGGCAGCCAAGATCATCTCCACTGCCCGACCACCACGATAGAGACTCTGCAGTTCTACTCGAGCATAAAGGACTATACTATCTTGAGCGCCAGCTCAAGCACTGACAATGATGAAAGCCGGGACCGTATCTGCAGCGAGATGAAAGCCATTGCAGTACCGACCTTCTGCGCGTACACAGGCCATATCTCCCCACAACTTTTGCCTGGACCTCTATTAGAATAGCGTTTGGGGGCCCATTGTACTATAACTATAGGAAGGCGCCCCCAGAATAGTAAAGGTAATTCTTGCGGGCCCTATAGTACCTGGACCCCCAAAGTATGTAGAATCTTGGCCTTTTATAGGTATTGGGCCATTAATTATTCTACCTACTTTGGGGGGTTTAGGTGCTGGCCCCACAAGCATTACCCGCACTTTCGATCTGTAAACCATTTTGTGGTTAAGCTGTCAAGGTCCTAATTCCAGGAAGCAAAGCGAAGCGAATTTAGTTCAAGTGCTGCCGCTACCACTGCTGCTGCTGCTCTTACTGCTACTTCTACTTCCACCTCTAAAGGTCCCGAAAAGTCAACCCTAATGTAGGAACCTGATTACGGTTTAGGGAACTCCAATATCCCTTTAAAACGCAATATACGTTAAAGTATAGTGGGGATCCCTAATATGATCTAACTCTATGCGGGCCCAAAGCCTAATGTAGGAACCTGATTAAGAAACCTTGGGCCTTTATTAGGGCTCCTTATATGAATCCTACTGTTTTGGAGGCCCAGAGTTTCTTAATCAGATTCCTACATTACCACACATAAGCCTAGAGAGCCCAATACCCCTTAATGAAGGCATATGGCTTAAATCATATAGGGCTTCATATGATGATTTAATCGATATTCCTTAATTAAGGGGTATTGGGCTCTCTGGGAGCTTCAGAGCAAGGCACCTTTATGTGCAATCACCCAGTTCCCGGACTGGTGAAGGCCATCCTTGCGGAAGGGACCCTTCCTGGGCAGATCAGCCAACATCGAGAAGTGTCTACGAAGCTGTTTTAGGGCTTATAGAGCTTATAGGGTTGGCCGTAATTCTCATGAGTTGCGGAAAACGACCTGCACACGTTCTAGAAGAAGTTCTTGCCCAAAGGCTCCATGTACCATATAGTAGGTACTTAGGCCGTAAAGTAGCCATATAGGGACCCCTTTAAAGATACTATGATTTAAGGTAAATGACTTAAATCAGGGGTATTGGGATCTCTGGGTAGAGCCTCGTCCCTAAACCCCTAAGCCCTAAACCCCGAATCCTAAACCCAAAACCCCTGAACCCTAAACCCCTAAACCCTAAACCCTAAACCCAAAACCCAAAAGGGCCTCATGGAGCGCCTGACGGACAAATAAGGATCCCCAAGTAATCAACGGGGAAAAGGAGGGGCCCTTAATGGGGACCCTTTAAAGGGATCTATAGGGATTCTATAAGGGTATATTTAAAGGGATCTATAGGGATTCTATAAGGGTATAGGGTTTAGGGTTTAGGGGTTCAGGGGGTTTAGGGGAAAAGGAGGGACCCTTAATGGGGACCCCCACCCTATAATGGGCTATATAATGGGTATATAATAGCTCTAATAAGGGTATATACCTTGGGGTCCTTATTAAGGGTTCCTCCGTTTACCCTTGGAAGTAAGGTACCCCTAATTTTCGGAAACTCGAAACCCTATGTGGGGTATCATGGGGAACTAAAGGTTAACCTTTTTGGGTATATGGGGAACTAAAGGTTAACCTTTTTGGGTATATAGGGACTATATATAGGGGCTATACTACCCCAAAAAAGGTTAAAGGTTACAAGTACCTGCTCTACTACTAGGGTTTTTTGGGCCCTAAACCCTAAACCCCTAAACCCTAAACCCTAAACCCCGGTCTCCTGTAAGGTTGAGAGCCGACCCAGTGACCTCAACGCTTATAGGGACTCTGGGCACGCAAACCGAAGTATCTGGGTCTAGTGAAGGCTTTAGGGTTTAGGCTTTAGGGTTTAGGGGTTTAGGGTTTAGGGGTTTAGGGGTTTAGGGTTTAGGCTTTAGGGGAAGCTCTATCAGTGCACAGAGGGAGGCTGTGGAGCACCCAGAAGCGACACCGTTGAGCGAGAATCTGCAAAGGGGCCGGAATGCTTTCAAAATTCGCCCGCGCCACATGCCCACAGACACCTTCCACATGCCATGCCTAGCTAATCCTAGGAATCATAACAACCCAAACATGTGCGCAACAACTCAATGAGTCAAGCAGCTGAACACTGACAGACAAACTAAATCAATACAACCCGCAGCATCTAAACACTACACTCCTAAAGCTCTACAAGCCCCCAAAAAGCCCAAAGCTCTATAGGGTTCAGGGTTTAGCCTGCCGCCAAGCAACTTTGAGATCCCTGGAAGGGCTCCAGTAGAAAAACTCTGCGGCGTTCGATGCATGGCGTGCGCAAGGCGGAGCGAACAGGAAAAAACTAAACCCTAAACCCCGAAATCCTAAACTCTAAACCCTGAAGACAAGGTTTCGGGTCAGGCAAGCAAAACCCTGCAAACTATCGGCAATGGCTCGATTTCCATGCTGTAAAGGGAGGCTTGAGCAGGCTTTAGCATGACTGTTCTACGCGCTGCATTCGGTGACTGAGCGGATGGAATCATGATGCGCACTGGATATTCTTACCCAAACTAAGCCTTAAACACCCACACCGAAAACCCTATCAGCCTTAAACCCTGGAGCCAAAAACCTTAAACCCTAAACCATAAACCGTAACCCCCCTAAAGTCCTGAACTAAGAGCCCCTGCAATCCTCTAAAGGTCGAGGATTTCACTTCGAGCCGACGGGGCGAGCACGACATTTCTGGAGGGTTCTTTGAATAGGGCTCCAGACAAGCACATAAGCAACAATTAGGATAGGGATATCCCATGTAAACCCCCTTATAATGAAGCCCAATAAAGTAGGGATGTCCTGATAACATGCTTATGCTTATGTCCTTTTTGGGTCCCTAACTAGGGTTGAGGGTTTCGGGGACACGGTGTAACCCTGAACCCTGAACCCTATACCCTAATTCAGGGTATAGGGTTTGGGGCAGATTAGGGTTTACGGTAAAAGAGTTCTCATGATGTCCCTACAGGATTCTTTGACGGCTCAAATGATACCTCTAAAGGGCTCTATAAGGGCTCTAATGATAGTATTTTGTTGGTTGTATATGGGTGATCATGATAACTTTGAAGGGTTCTAGAAGCCTTCTTGGCACTTACTCGTCCAGTATCCTAACTACAGGTTGAGCTTTAGGAATATATGCGGGTATCCGAAAATAGGGGACCCTAATCTAAAATCCTGAATAGTAGGATCCTTATTATAAGGACCGCAAAATAAGGTACCCCCAATTTTCTGAAACTCCCATATGGAGCTTGTGGGATTCCGGTACCCTCAAAAAATCAAAGGCTATCCACAATACTAGCAGGATAAGGGTTCCAAGTCATATCTGGAAACGGGTTCCAGAAGGGTGCTAGAAGGTTTTTATTTTACAAGGGTTCCATAAGTGCTACAAAGGGCTCTCTACAGGGTTTCGAATTTTTAGGGGCCCAGCGTTTAGGGCTCGAGCGTCCTAGCGTCCTGTTTAAAATTAGATTGTAGGGCTTAGTGGCTGACCCTCTGGCGAGACAAGCGACAAAGGGTTGTAACATCCCCGAAATGCCAGATGCCCCAACAATCTAAATCAAACACTAAAACTCACTAAAATCATGAACAGCAACATGGTTGGCAGCTTCGAAACCAGTGGGCTTAAATCCTAAAATCCGAACTGCTTGCTCCATGTTGGGGGCAATCCTTACAGGGCCTGAGTTTTATGGCTGTGGGCAGGGCTCATATCTGATTAGGACTCAGCTTTTGAGGGTTTAGGCTTTGGAATGTGCGACATGTCCGGCTCTTGGGTCTAAGCCTGTTTCGCTGTCGGGTTACGGGTTTTCGGTGTCTGGTGCTTGGAGGATCATGGGACTTAGTAAGTATGGTTATAAGTACCGTAATTTGGGTTGTAAGTAAATATACGTGTAATTGCCAGATTTATAATCCTAGTTGCTAAGTCCCATGATCCTTTAAGTGGTTTAGGGTTGCATGGTCTATTTGCAGGGTCCCGCACTGAGTAAGCATGCTTGTAAGCAAAGTCATGCTCTAAACCTTGACCTTGCGTCTGAAACACTTAGCCCCAGATCCTAAATCCTGAAGCTGTATCGAATCCTTTGCACCCAAAGCCTTCTTCGCCCGCAAACGCGGAAAAGAGTGCTGTTTATCTTTCGGGCTGCATAGTTCAAAAACCTCATTCAAGCTCTCAATTTTGCATACAGACCCCTCAATGGTCAATCAAACCTCGGATACCGTCCCGTCGTAGCATGACATACTCTAAGCACCTCTTGCAACGATCTAATATGCTACCCCGTAAGGGCTGCGTACTATACATCCTGTAATAGACCCCAAAAGCTCGTTCTATCTTAGGGGCTGAGCACCCTAGCCCAAAAAGTTAGTCCTTTCAGTTATGGAAGGATTATACACACCCCACAAAGTTATAAAGGTTACCTACTCATCCAGCTATTAAGCCCCCTACATCACGCCTTGCAAGATCCCTGTGTCCCACTCCTTGCTTTTATGGGATGTTCGGAACTGCAAATGAATTCTAAACTTCAGACCCTGCGATCTTGGAAAAATGTGCATGCAAATATATACATCTATGTATGTATACAAGACCCCTCAGTCCCGAAACTTTAGAAATCTCCATGCAAGATACCGTGCTCCCCCGTTTTGTCTTGAGGTCGAAGCACCTTCGATCGCTAACACCTTGAGTCCCAAGTCCTTGAAACCCTCCAGCACAACAATTATGTATATACTCATAGCGATATGTATGTATGTATAAATGTATGTATGCATGTATGTATGTATGTGTATGTGTATGTGTATGTTTATGTGTATGTGTATGTGTACGTGTATGTGTATGTGTATATCTGCATGTGTATATACGTATGTTTGTGCGTACGCATGCATGTAAGTATGTATTTATGAGTGCATGTATGTAACGGGTTTGAGGGGCTCAGGGTTTACCAGCACCCCCGAAGTGCCCGTGAATACATGCCTTCTGGGGCTTCATAGCGGGCACTTAAGCTCTAATGCGGGGCATGTTTTTGGTACCCTAAACCCTAAACCCCTAAACCCTAAACCCTAAACCGTGGTGTTGGCAAAGATACAAAACATACCTCGGACCTAACCTCGCAGACCCTTTTGATAATGCTAAAGGGTTTAGGGTTTAGGGTTTAGGGTTTAGGGTTTATGAAAAGCTTCAGCTCAAACCAAAGGCTTAAGGGTGTGAGCTGAACAAGACACCCGAGAGAGTCATGTCTAAAACCTTTCAATGCCGTCTAAGCCCTACACCCACAACACCAAAAAGATTTCAAACACACCAAAAACACAACCTGAAACACAAACGACGTAAAACCTGGACTCCCGGAACGTGAAACCACAAACATCTGACACCCCAATAGCCTGAACAAGCTTATAGCCTAAACCCTAAGCCCTGAAATCCTAATCCGAAACACCGCAAAGCTAAACCCTAAGAGGCTACCCTAAACCCGAAACTTTCCATCCCAAACCGCGGCCCCTAAAACCGAAAGACCCTGAAGCCTAACTTTGAAACCCAGAAGCCGGACCCTACTGTTGATGATGTAAATCTTGCATTGCCCATAGTAAGGAATATTCCCATAGTAAAGGGTCCTTAAGGTAATGTAGGATGTATATCATCAACCCTAAACCCTAAACTTAAAGGAACCCCTTAAAGGTACTTATAGATCCCTTTAAAGGAGCCCTAGGGATTTATATCATCCACCGTACGGATCCCATCCCTTCGCCTGGGATGGCACAGACCTGGTGACCGGCTGGCGAGGAACAGCTGGCCTTTAGGGTTTAGGGTTTAGGGTTCAGGGTTTAGGGTTTGGGGTCTAGGGTTTAGGGAGTTTAGGGTTTAGGGTTTAGGGTTTGCGTTCAGTGGCTTCCCCCTTTTGAATCAGGGTAGTTCTCCAGATTAAGATGCCTTTTTGGCGTTCCTTAAAGCTTAAAGGGGTCGGTAAGGGCTTCTATAGGGTTTCCATAAGGTAAGGTATGGTAAGGTAAGGTAAAGTAAGGTGTGATGACCGCACAGCTGCATCCAGGAAGCCACGAAGAGGGCTACAACAGCGCCGAAGGACCAAGGCAGCCCGGGAACAACTCCGTGTTGTTCACCGCTAATATCGAGGCAAACGCCTGTGGAGATGCAAGCAACTGTGGACGCTGAAGGCCTTCCCGCAGTGCCGAGGATGTCCCCGTCTCGCTGATGCGGGATTTCGCTGGATACTTGGCCATCCTTCCCAACCGGGTGCTTGCACAAAGCCGCAGGTCAGAAAACAACAACAGTCGAAGGCACGTGCCCACGCAGTTCTGGGCCACGTTGCTGGTGTGCCGAACAGCTTGCGCAAGAAGGCCATGCTTAATGACCTGCTCGGGCAGCCAGTGCGAAATTGGATTTCCTTCATAAAGAAGGAAGACAACACCTTTCCAGAAGCACCACGATCTTGCTGCCGCAAGCGAGCATAGGTGCAGATGCTAGGTTCGGTCGAGTCGAAGGGATCAGTAATGGCTTCAGATAAGGTCTGGGGTTTCACAGCTTTGGGGTTTCCCTTTTTGAGGGTTTGTCGGGTTGCAACTCGTGCACGATTAGGAGTCTAGTCTGGGTGTGTTTTTTTCCGCTACATAAGGGTTCTACTCTCAGGGTGATCCTACAAGGGTCGCTATACCCTTACCTCAGCCCACCCTAAACCCTAAACCCCCTACTCGACTCAACACCCAGCCGCTGCGAGAACCTGGGATCTGGCACGGAAACCCGTGTCCAGAAGAAAGCTCTTGCAGCAGGGTTTAGGGTTTAGGGTTTAGGGTTAGGGTTTAGGGTTTAGGGTTTAGGGTTTAGGGTTTAGGGTTTAGGGATTGCAATCATAGAAGTTATCCCAGGTGTCGAGTTCAACAGTCCCCAAAAACTATGTATAATTAGGGTTCTATGTTGAAACAATAAGGGAACTAAGCACAATCACAAACCGATCCTGTTGACCATCAGCCATACTGCCAAATGGTTTGAACCGCGGCTGCTGTTCACTTATGTTGCTGGTGTAATTTCTTTGATTTCGTTTCATGCCAGCACCATGTGCCATTGGGCGGGCTCTGGGTCCTGGTGCTGGTGGTGTGGAGATTGGAGTCATTAGTTCTGCTCATCATCATCATCATCGTCACCTTCATCACCATGGTCATCTCTCCATCATCACCATCACAACATTCTGACCATCGCCGTCGCTGTCAGCATCCACGGCAGGGAAGCAGTGGCAGAATAAGCCGTGCTCACGTGATCAAAAACTCGATCATGACCGGTCAGGGAGGG